CTCACATATATATTGTACAGAATAAAAATGTTTTATTGAATATACTGTACTTATGCTTAAGACCCAGGCTCACTTCCAGAGCTGGAGTCCTCCTGGGGATTAGAGACGGGTGAGTACTGTGGCCAAGCCCTGAGACAGAAAGAACTCATCCGTTATGCTGCTTGCCACTCTTCTGTCCCCTGCACAGGATATGTGTTCAGTCTCCTAACTATGTACTCCCGCTTGTTGTACATAGTTCTTTGAGCAAAGCAGAAAGTAGGCCTTTTCAGCTTAGGCAGCCATCCTGATTTGAGCTGGCCACTTGTCAGTTAAGAAAATACATATTAAGTTCTGAGTCTGGTAAAAGAAATAGCATGATAAACGTGGTCCATGTGTGGCATTCTGCTTCTACTGCAATCTTTTCCACCATTGAGGATTAGCTGCTTTTAAAAATACCCATGCTGTAGCTTGCTACTAAGAAGCCTGTGGCTGAAGAACTCTATCCTGAAGCTGGGCACAGTGGTGCATGCCTGTAACCCAGCACTCAGGATTGTTGCAAGTTCAAGACCAGCCTGAGCTACAAAGTGAGCTCAACACTACAAAGTGAGTGTAAGGCCAGTCTGACTGCCTAGTAAGACCCTGTCTCAAAAAGAAAAGAGAAAGAACTATTCCTGTATAAGAAGCGAAGAGCACTTCCTTCTCTGCAATTGCTGATAAATGGCAGAGGAAGTAAGAGGGTGCTGTAGCTGCCACTCACCGACCTTCAAATACTTATCCCTGGACAGATTCTGCCAGTGTGCTGGGTAGGGCTGGCTCTCTAGGAGACCAGATGTGCTGCTCATGCCGCCTTCCCTCCCACCCAGTCTACTGGCTTGGGACTCTTCAAGTCAAATGAACCTGACTTGCGACCGCATTACTCTTGTGTAGAGCTCTCTAATGCCAGTCAGCTCAACTGACAGAAGGTACTCAACTGGATCTGCAGAATAACTAAGAGAGGACTCCTTCACCCACAGCTTTCAGTTTATGTATCTTTTCCCTCAATTATGAAAGCCAGTGTTGGAAAAAGCACATCTCAGTACCAAGTGAGAGATCTCCAGGAATTACTGAGCCACTTTGCTAACATTAGTGGATCATTTAGAGGAAGGAGAGTAGGCCTGCAAGGAGTCTCAACATTTTTATTGTCAGATCTAAGTTTTGGCACTATACATTCTTAGCAACCCTTTAGGTACAGAGCAGTTAGGAACCATTCCTCCCATTAAGAATCTACAAATCGTGGAATAAGCGCTTCTGTGGCAAGCGCAAGGGTCTGAGTACAATTCCCGGTTCTGCCAAAAAAAAAAAAAAGAATCTACAAATCTAACAGAAAAGCCCATGTATACACAGATTACTATCTTTTAAGTGCCATAAAGTGAGAAACATTTTCAAAGGAAAACATAATTTCCTATTAGGTCCAGCAGCTTTTGACCTTTTTCCTTCTTCAAATTAAATATGGTATTCCAACTTACAAATTTGCTAAAAAACTGCTTTGTGTATGTGTATGGGAAGGATACATATATGCCATTCTCTTTACTCATGTACCCACACCTCAATCAGCTCTTCATTCTTATTTAGTTCCAAATATATAAATATAATATATAAGGCTCCTCTATCAGAGAAGACCAAAGAGCTGACTACTCACCCATAAGAATGAAGAAAGTATAGTTACTATAGCTGGACACAGTACCACTTCAGTATAATCCTAGCATTCTGGGAGGCTGAGATAAGATCTCAAGGTCCACCCCAGCCTAGGCAACTTAGACCCTGTCTCAAGAAATTAAATGGCTGGGAATGAAGTTCAGTGTGAGGGCCCTGGGTTCAGTCCCTAGTACTCCAAAGTCAAAATCTAGAAAGTACCAGTACAGGGGCTATAGATCAGTAGAGTACTAGCATAACATGAACAAAACCCTGGGTCTAACCTGTCAGCACCACATAAACCAAAACAGTACTACAGATGTGGACAAGTGCAAAAAGCTACCATATGAATTTGAAACCCAAAGGTCCATGTTCAGATCTCTTTCACATGAAAAAACAAGCCAAGGACCCCAAAGTCCCAAGCACTTACACTGAAATCTGTGCTTTGGATTTCAAAAATGTCCTCTTTAAAGCTGGCCCCTGGGAGCTGTGACATGGGGGTATCTAAAAGTTAGACACATGGGGGAGTCCGGTAAACATAGTTTCTGGTTCTTTCTAGCAAGGCCCCTGCCAAGGCTGGTGCTACTGTGGTCCTGAGCATGAAGTGGTCTCATTCTACATCAGAACATGCAGGGGCAGAAAAAAACAGAGTGCGGCTGGGCATGGTGGCGCACACCTGTGATCTCAGCACGGGAGGCAGAGGCAGGAGGATGGTTGCAAGTGTGAAACCAGCCTGGGCTAGAAAGTGACCTTAAAGCCAGCCTTGTGAGACCCTATCCTAAAAAAAAAATTCTCAACAAGGTGTCATCTGAACTACCATCACCAGAGCTAGAAGGAATTTTTAACCATCTTAGTTATTTCCTTCTCTTGCCATCTTTAAGTGAAGTACTTTAAATCCATGCCTTTAAATCTTCAATGATCCATAGCTGATGATCTCAGTCCACAGAAGAGGAAGTGAAGAAAGTGACCATGCCATTCTGGTACGAGGCAGAGGGAGCCTTGCACCAGGTCTCTTGGGCTTCAGGCCCATGTAACATTTATCTGACACTGTCTCTGTAAACACTAAGGCTTAAAAACTTAAAATAGGGGCCGGGGAGATGGCTCAGTAGAATAAGCACTTCCCTGGCAAGCACAAGGGTCTGAGTTCAATTCCCAGTGCCGCAAAAAAACCCCAAAAAAACACACACCTTAAAATGATATTTATATTAATAAAATTTAAAATTTCATCAGCATTTTCTGGATTTTTTTTGGTATTAAAAATTTCATCATTATGATATCCTTGAATAATGAATGTATTTCCATCTCCTAGGTTATAGACAAAATATTAAAACCTACAGCAAGCCTAAGGGCAGCATTAATGTGTTAATGGTTTAAAAAATGATTCTAATGTCTGCATGCCCTCAGGCCGGGGGCGCTTATTACTAGAGGCCATGGGGCTCCTGAGATTTCTTTTCCCTTGAGAAGACATGGCTGGAACAGCCCTGGGGACTGAAGACTGTGGCTGCAGAAAGGACTTCTGCAACTCTAATGCAAAATGATAGTCCATGTGTTCTGGCATCTCCCACACTGGAACCAGGGAACTGCACTTGTCACAGGGCAGCTGGTCCTCAGCAGTTAAAAGATCAGAGGTAGCTACTGCCATTGGAGCCACCTCAAGAGACTTGAGAGCTGAAAAGGAAGGCATGGCTGGGCTCTTCTGTGTCAAATCCTCCTCTGGAGAAACTGCCTTAGAAGAGTCTAACTTCAATGCTCTGTCACAAACAGGGGCACCCTCTGAATGCTCTGTTGGAAAACAGTTGGGTGATCCTTTAGAGTTGATCTGTGAGTTCTGTGGAGGAAAAGACACTGAAGAATTGAGCTGCTTCTGTTTTAGAAGCATACTTTTCTGCTTAAAGAAGGGCTCTACGCCCAATGTCTGACTAGTCTGGAAAAGTAATGGGGACTTCAATGGTGACTTGTTCTTGGAGGTTTGGGTAACAGCAGTAAGAGATGAACATGAAGCTGCTTTAGCTTTCTGCTTCTCCGCAGCTTTTTGGAAGAATGATTCCAGAGACGTTGTTGCTTTCTTGATGGGTGTCACTACTGAGTCACTTCCTTGGGTCTTAGCTTCTGAGCTTGTGACTGGCACCTTTGGCAGAGAACCTGAGTCACTGCTCAGGAAGGCAGTGATATCTGTGCAAGATGCAGGGGCGGAGACAGAGAATTTTGTAGCACAGAGGAAGAGCATTGTGAGGGGAGGGAACCTGTATAAAAGAGAAGCACAAAGATTAGTAACAGATTACTGTTTCAAATCTTGATTGAGTTCAAAACAACTGGGGTTGTGGGTCAGGCTCCCAGAGCACTGCAAGCTAGGTATATACCACTGTACCTAACTCAGTGAATTATTCTAAGTAAAGACCAGAAAAAAAAAAAAGCCTAGAGCCGGTGAAATAGCTCAGTGGACTAAGTACCTGCTTAGGCAAGCGCAGGAACCAGGGTTCAATGCCTAGCACCACATGCCATGCTGGCCCTGAGCTGAGCCAGCCACCAAACCCCCGGCAAGGTGGCACACACCTGTAATCCCAGCACTGGGGAGGCTGAAAACAAGAGGATCATGAGTCCAAGCTGCATAGTGAGACCCTGTTAAGTAAAGACCAAAGGCTCTAATTTTAGACACTCTATTCAAATTGTAGGTCTCTATTGCCAAGTAATGATTTTTTTTTTTTTTTT